GGGTGGGGGGGGTTGGGGGAAGAAATGGGGAGCGGATCTCAGGGGCTCAAGTGGGAAGAGAATGCTTTGAAAATAATGATGGCGGCATATGTGCAAATGTGCTTGATACACTGGAGTAATTTATGGATTGTGATAAGAGATGTAGAGCCCCCAATAAAAGTATTTTAATAAATTAATAAATAGTTTTTAAAAAAAAGAAAATACCATGGTCCTCAAAGGAACAGCACCTAACAATGGTTAAACTTTCCTGTGATTTCATTTCGTTAAAAATGAAAAAGAAAGAAAAGTTTCCCGGGATGCGGTGCCACTCAGCTAACAGGCTCTGGGCTTTGTTCTACCTCAAGTAGCGACAAAATGACGGGGTTGGATTTGAACCCTTCCCTCAGTCAAAACCAGCTCCATTCCTGGGGTGGACACGCTTCTTGTAAACACAGGGCCCCCTACCACCTGCAGAACCTAGCGGCTCAGGAGAGAAGCAGCCTGGGTTCCCGTGTGGGGCATCACCTGTTGGGATTGGAGCCCTTCTTGTGAGGAGCCAGATAAGGAGATAGCTAAACTCTTGCCACGAGCCTTTGGCTGCCTGTGAGATACGGGTTGATTCAAGAAGAGCAACACAGGAAATGAAATGTATTTATTAGGTGGAACAGAACTCCGCAGAATCACAGTGCTTCTCTTGCACACTGGCGGCCTTCGTCCTTGGCAGATATCAGACACTTGGCAACTGTACAGTACAAGACAGTCAGCCGAGTCCATGGGGTGTTGCTGAAACCCCGAGAGGCATTTTAAGGCGGTTTCAGCCAAGGCTGCAGAACAAAGGACACATCTACAGAAACGTCACAGTGTAAAGAAGTAACTCCCCACGCCAACTGAGCTAAACACGATGGCAGCCAGAGGTGTTCCGTGGGCCTGCCCCCATCACACGTTTCCAGTTCCCACAAACTTGGCCGCTGTCACGGGCGAGCGGATGCCCATGGAACGAAAAAAAAGGAGGGACTCGCGCTCACACCACGAACAGGATTACAGAAAACACGGGGTCAGCTGCGGCCACCCAGGGAGAGGTCAGCAGCCTTTGGGGCGGGCTCCTCATGGACTCTGAGATGAACCTTAAAAGTAGGCCGGTGTAAGCTCCGTCTTCCCGCCCACGGTCACCACCTGGATGAGGCTCCCCGAGCTCGGGCGGTTCTTCCCCGAGATCCAGTCCTGGAAGGTTCTAGCACAAAGGAGAGGGGCTTTAAGTTTTCGGAGCAGGTCATCTGGGCACATCCTTACCCTCACATGCAGACCCTGGGGGAGGGGGAGGGGAGGTGCAGTGCCAGCTGTGATGAACGCAGAGAGTCCTGGCCACACACCCAAGACCCCAGATCCACCCCATGACCTCCCTCGCTGCACTCTCGGAGGGAGGCAGCATCTGGCTTGATTTCAGCCTTCCTTTTGCTATGTTTCTGCAAGGCTGGGATTCTTTATGAAATCTCAACTCCCGCCGCCATCGAACCGATGTCGGCTCAGAGCCCACCCTATAGGACCGGGTAGAACGGCCCCTGTGGGTTTCCGAGATGGTAACTATTGATGGGAGTAGAGAGCTTCATCTCTCTCCTGAGGACGAGCTGGTGGTTTCGAACCGGCGGCCTTGAGGTTGGCAGCCCAACAGGTCACCCCCCTTGCCACCAGCACGTGATGGGGAGTGTTTCTCTGCTGTACACAGGGGACGCGGCAGCAGCATCACCACTGGCAGGGGAGGCGAGATGTCACCTCATGTGCTTTGGGCATGGTATCAGGAGAGACGAGTCCGGCCTTAGCACAGCACGCTTGGTAGAGTGTGGGGGAGGTCAGATGCGCAGGCATTCCCCCCCTGAGGGCGATCAGTTGCCAAACTGCACTGGGCCTGCTCCCTGCTGCTGGAGACAACGGACTACCTCTCTCTGAAGCCCTAGGCCATTAGCTTGGTTCCTGTAGGAGGGGTTTGCACCCTACTGATAATGGTTCCTATGGAGACCCAGAGACCACCCTCTCATTACTGGGTACCCTATAGTGTAACCCCTCCCTGTGACGCATGTCTCTACCTATAATTAGTGGGCTGGTATGCCCCCAAAAGGTATATAGGCATGGGTCAGCAATATAGAGCTCTCGGACCTCTCGGACCCTCTCTCCCCCCTCTCCTCTCCAGTCCTCTCTCCCTTGTTCCCTTACCCTCCTTCCCTTCCCCCTCTCTCCACGTGGACCACCGGGCTGGACTGAGGTGAGCAATGGTACCATGTAACATGCCTGACTGTATTATTGTTTTGTCTCTTATGCTCTCGATGACTTTAATATAATGCTTATGTGTCTCAACCGTGCAATTGTGCATTGCCGAACCCTGAAGTAGTATTACTGAATCCGAGTAGTAGTAATAGTAGTATCAGCTGTAATAGTAGTATCAGCTGTAATAGTAGTATCAGCGGGTGGGGGCTGGCCCCTCACCCTCCATCCGCACCATTTTTAATTTAATACTACAGTAGAGTTGAGGGGCAGTGGAAAAAAGAAAGACCCTCAGCAAGACAGATGGACACAGTGGCTGCGTCCATGGGCTCAAGCGCAGGCACAAAGGTGAGGACCGTGCAGGGCTGGGGCCGGCAGTGTTTCATTCAGCCGTGCGCAGGGTTGCTATGGGTCAGCACCGACTCCATGACCCCGACAAGGGCAGAAGCGGCAACCATCACTGCCTCCCTCACAGTGACGATAGCGTTTCTAAGAGCTGCAGTTTGCAGGACACTTGGGCGTGGTGCCAAGGACCTGACAAGCACTGTCCCATCTCGGTCCTGGCCAGTCCTCTCAGGCGCTGTCAGTGGGGGGCTGCGTGTTGCTGTGACACTGAGCAGCGTTCGCCAGCCAGGAACTTAGGGATCCCAACAGCCCGGTTCCGCTGTACATGGACTGACCCCACCCCAGCTAACATCATGGCACAGCTGCGGGCCCAGAGTGGTTTAACCAGGGCTGCCAGCTGGCTGACTAGCTGGTAATGGGGAGGAGCTGGCTCGTTGCTAAGATCTCAGACCTGACCGGGGGGCCTGACCACACAGAGACCCCCTGTGCTGATACCCCAAGAGAACCCAATCCATGAGGGCAGAGAGGGGGCACTGGCCGCAGTCACTTAGCCACTGCCATTGGCGAGATACTCACTCCACCAGGAAGTCTAAGGGTGTCCAGGAGCTGAAGTCAGCCTCGGGCATGGACTTCCTGTTCATCGGGGTGTCCAGGGTAACCCTGCGTCACACAGAGATAAGGGTGTTATTTCCACATCATCTTTCTAATCAGAGCTCTCCAGGCCTCCTGCTCGGCCCGAGGGCCTCTCCCAAAGCCCGGAAAAGGCACACACACAGGGTTAGACCAACCTGAGCCTCGGGTGGAGGGCAATTATATTTAGTGGGGGAGGGAGGGGGCATGGAAGGGGGCTCACTCAGGCAGCCCAGGCAGAAGGAAGAGCCGCCGTTTGCTCCTCCTTTGTTCACATAATGAGCATCGTGGTTGGAGTCTCCGTCCACTCTCTGAGAAGCAGCATGCTCGTGCCTGAGTGTGTGTCTGTTCGGCAGTTTAACTTACTAGGATGAATTGAGTGAACGTTTATGGGGCAAATCAGTTCTTCATTGAATAATTTAGACATATTTTGTTTCCCATCCCCACAATGTGACATGGATTAATCCCGTGCCCCCCTGTTTCCCTGCCTCCTCTTCCGCAGCCCTTCTGAACTCTGTCCTTGGGTACACGCTGCCTTTCTGATCCCAGGGAGTTGGTGATTCGGAGGTCTGCGTCCTTCCCCAGTGTGCCGGTTCCCTCCGTGCACCTGTCCACTGTGGGGCTGAAAATGGAGTCACGGTGTGTGGGGGGGACGGGGTGGGGGGGGAATAACACTCAGTTTCAGACCATAAAGGAAACTTAAGACCAAAGTCTCAGGGTCCCACCAGTGTATAGCTGACCACTAAACCTGGTCTTCCCAGGAAATTTTAAAAATAGTTCCTTAAAGGCTGGGAAAAGACAGCCTCATCCTTCCTTGGGTCCTACGGGGTACTGGAATCGACTCCACAGCGGTGGGTGTGGGTTTGGCTTCCTTGACTTTGGTTGATGGCTGGGGCACGCCGAGTCCCCGGGGGAGAAGCACTCTGACACATCATCACTCAGCAGGGTTTGGGGAGAGCCCCAGTATACTCACGGGAGCACGGCAATGGCGGCTGAGCCGGAGGGCATGCCGCTGCCCTTCCCCGCGAGGCTCTGGCAGAGCTGATGCACGGCGCCCTTGGCCATGCCATAACCAATCATCCCTGCAGAAGAGAGAGCAACCGGGTCACCACTGGGGCCCTGGGAGCAGCGTAGAGGTGTGCTGGCGGCTGAACTGTCTGCCCCTTCACAGGAGTTGGGATCCTAAGCCCTGAACCTACGACTGCAATCCCAGGTAAGAACAGGGTCTGCAGCGCAGGGTGAATGGGGCCCTGTGGGTGAGGATGTCCTGAACCTCATCCCGTCCCAGTCACAGGGGGCACGGGGAACGCAGGAGCGTGTGCAGGAGGAAGGCAGACTGCAGCTGACCGCTACAGACCAGAAACTATGGAAGTGGGGCTCATGGAGTCGCCGAGGGAGGACTGAGCCCCTTGTGGCAGTTACATAATCTCCTGTCAGCTTGCACGAAGGCGTCTACCCTGTCAATGAGGTCGCAGCTTGATGACTTCATTTGGAGGCATGACGGCGACAGCTAGCTCACTGAAGGCCAGGCCCACTTTCTCTGCCTTCCTGCTGTTGAGACATTCAGAGAGCTGGAGGAGACACGTGGAGACCCACACCAGTGTTGAGATGTTTCCGCCACCACTGGATCCACAAGACTTTCTACCCACCGGCATGATCTTCCTGCATTCGTCATCATTGCATGTGCTGTGTGAGTGTAAAGAGGAATTTATGGACTAGCATCGGACACATGGGCTAATGTCGGACTTATGGACTTGATCTGGACTGGGTTGGGATGTTTTCTCAATATACAATTACTCTTTATATGAAGCTCTTTCTTATACACATGAGTATCTCCCTAGATTTGTTTCTCTTGTCTACTCGGAAGAACACAGCCCGGGTGTGGCCCCCAAGGGGACATCTGCCGTTCAGCTGTTTGAGAGGTTTTGGGCAACAGATTGCCCAGTACAATCCTTCACTGGGCTTCTTGATGGCTACTTCCGTGAGCACTGGGTGGATGGACCTAAGTGCAATGAAATCCCTGAGCAGTTCCATCTTTTCCCTGTGAACCGTCATGTTGCCTACTGGTCCGGATGTGAGGATCGTGGGCATCTTTACATTGAGCTGTCCTCCGTGCTGAAGTCACCCAGTTTATGGTCACCCATGGCCGCCCTAGTGCATTCAATCAGGGCAGGATCCATCGGCCCTACAGGCAGGTGGCGGGTACAGGGTCTCCACGGCATTATCCACAGGTGCTCACGAGATCACTCCCATCATAGCAACAGAACAAACGGCCAATCCTTCTCGGAAATGCCTCTCCTCCCTCAGAAAGTCAGTCTCCTTTGGAGAGCTCGGTCCCTCCTTGAGCCTCCCCTCGCCACCAAGGTGCTGCTGAAAGTACAACACGCTGAGGAAGCATCACGGTCCACGAGGGCAGCAAAGGGAGGGACCCATCCAGCCAGGGAGCCAGTCACCAAATGCTTCAATAACCACCTCGAGTTGGTTCCAAGAGGGTCAAGGTCTTGAAAAGTGATTTAGAAAACACAGGACTATTTCACCATGCCTGGTTTCATCTGCTCCGCCATGGGCAGGAAGCCAGGGTGATGAGGAAGACCTAAGGACACTGGCACTGAAGCAAGCCATGCACGGCGGGCCTTGATGTAGCCCCGGCTCCCCAGAAACGCTCCCGGGGCACCTCTGCTGTGCCCCAGCTTCCCCAGAGCAGAGCAGTCAAGGAAGGAAAGACCAGAAGCCAGGGATGCTGACAGCATAATTCCCCGCCTGCACTGCTTCCCTGGGTACAGAATGTGGATGAGGGGCTTGTTGGCGAGACAAGTGTTTTTTCAGGTTGTTTGTTTTCTTTAAGGGAGAAGAAGGCAGATGAAAGGACTTCAAAATGTTTCTGGGAAAATCCCATTATCTTCTAATGTCATTTTTCCACGAACTTCTTGAAGCCTCCTCATGTATGTCTGTTTGTGTACACATATATATGACTGCTAACATCAAGGTCAGCAGTTCAAATCTACCAGTTCCTCCATAGGAGAAAGACAGGGCTGCCTGCTCCCTTAAAGATCCATATAGCCTCAGAAACCCTATATAGGGTTGCCAAGATCAGGACTGGCTCCGTGGCAGTGGCTTGTATATGCCTTTGTCACCTGCCGTGGAATCGTGGCAACATCATATATCTCAAACTCACTGCCGTCCAGCTGACCGCAACTCATAGTAAGCCCACAGGACAGATACTCCTGTGGGTTTCTGAGACTGTAACTCTTTTCAGGAACAGAGAGACTCATCTTTCTCCCACTGAGCATCTGGTAGGTTCGAACCGCTGATCTTCATGGATGTAAGGAACTATTAAACTTAACTCCTCGTTGACCTGAAAATTATAGGCAGATTCCCTCAGATTATTCTCTGGTCTCCACAAAAGGGAAAAGATGTCATGACCCAAATCAGTTGGCCAACATTTGATGTGTGAACAAATTCCATGACATCTGAAGTAGCAGAGGCTGAGTAAAAGCCTGGAGAAAATAATCTCTAGCATTGACTGTTCACCTTCCTACGTCATTTATATTTTGTTAACCACTTATGAGTCACGACTATTCTACTGCAGTGGAGTCAAATTGCTCTCGGAATAGCTCCTGTAGCCACACTCTTTGTGACTCCAACCAAATGAGTGGGTGAGAGCATGCAAATTAGGTGTACAGGATTCTAACTCAGGGATTGGTCAGTTGTGCCGTTCTGCTGGGTATAAAGAGAGCCACCTCAAAAGCAGGAAGAGGAGTACCACAACCATCAAGGAAGAAATGCCGCCAGCCGGGCAGACAAGATCCCTGCCTGACGGACGCAGAGGCACCAAGTACTAAGACCATGAGACAGAGCAGAGGAGCAGTGTGCAGACCAGGAGACAGAGCAGTGGGCTTGCCCGCTGAGAGAGTAAAGCTGAGTGTCATCGGGTAGGAGGCTGGCTTGCAGAGTGGGTGCCCTTTGGGCATTATCAGTGTCAAAAGAGCTCAGTAACACTTGGCTAAGCAGGGCAGAGGTCAAGGGACAATGTGGTTGAGAGATTAGGGACCAGAGAGAGACATGTCTGCCAGCATGGCTGAGAAGAGGGGCTGCAGACTCAAGAACTATATCCTTACTTTTGTGACCTATTAGCTTCCCTAATAATGTCCTCATAATCATAAAGACTGTCTGTGAGCTCTGCACGTCCATTGCAAAGAATGCTTAAGCCCAGCAGGGAAACCGAAAGCCAAGGGAGGGACAGGTGTTGTCAGAACAGCGTAAAGAAGGTGGAGGGTGGAGGCTATGTCTTAAGCTCTGCCTCACAAGAGTCATCCTTGGAGAGATAAGGAGTGAGTGGGGCCAGAAGTCAGATCGGGCCCACTGCCATGGCCTCCTCTACAAAGAAGGTATTATTATGAACCCCATCTTATAGGTAAAAAAACTGAGGCTCAGAGAGGTTAAGCAACTTGACCTCTACTTCACAGCAAGCCAGTAGCAGAACCCTAGAAAACCAGCCTGGGTAGTTCTAGAGCCCACAGTCTTAGCATTATTTTAAGATGCAAACAAAGACAGAGAGTTACAGCCCGGTAGATAAAATATCCAAAGCCTGTGTCGTGCTTCTGGAAAGTCAGTCTTCCCGTCCTGAGGTGCTCTGTCTAAAGGTCAGGCTATTACTCATCTCTATACTTACTGTCCTGTTCCTCTGCACCTTCAATAACCATCAGATTGCACTCCCACAAATACCGAACACTTCCGATGGCGGTGGCCTCCTGAGCCCTGAGAGATGTGATAAAACAACGAGTGGCCAGAAACGTTTACTTAGTAATTAGCCACACCGTCAAAAATTAGGGAGGGTGGAAGTTGGGTGACGGATCTCGTTTTACCCTAGACAGAGTTGGCCTTTGTCCGTGGTTCCTGAGAAGTAAGCCTTTGAGTGACTGAGGGGCACGGTAAGTGAAGCACTGAGTTATTAACCAAGAGGCGGGTTGAATCCAGCAGTCACTGTGCAGGACAAGGATGAGGTTCTTGCACTCTGGGGAACATAATGGAGCACTTCTACTCTGTCCTACGGGCTCACCAGGAGTCGGATCAGCAGTGGGTTTGGTTCCGTTCTAGGTCGGTCTGGGATGATTTGTGTTGACCAGTGGTGGCCAGACCAGAAGAGGCTTATTGATGAGTCCACTATCAGTGAGCCGCAGGCAGGATTCCGCCCCTTACCCAGAACTGGCGGATGAAAGCCCAGAGCACAAGGGCTCAGAGAACCTCAGGTTGGTGAAGAGAGAGAATCATGCTCTAGGACCCAGCAGCTCGGCATTCAGCGCCTTCCCTGAGCGATCCTGAAGATCCCTTCCCGGCAATTGTCCCAACAGATGTCCTTTGATCATGCTAAAACTGGCAGCTACTAACTGAAAGACTGGCCATTCAAACCCCTGAGCTAATGGTGAGAAAAGGCTTGCTGATCTGCCACCGTACAAATTACACCCGAGGAAACCGTGTGGGGCAGCTCGACCCTGCCCTTGCGGGTTGCAGTGGATCCACAAGACTTTCCACCCACGGGTCTGTGATCTTCCTGCATTCGGCATCATTTCATGTGTTTCGTGAGTCTGAAGAGATTGGTATTTTATAGACTGGTATCGGACATATGGGCTAATGTTGGACTTATGGACTTAAGATCGATCTAGACTGGGCTGGGATGTTTTCTCAATATACAATTGCTCTTCTATATAAAATTCTTTCTTATACACATGAGTGTCTATGAATTTTGTTTCTCTAATCAACCCAGACGAACACAGGGGGCGAAATGCCGAAGAAATGCAGGCCTGCAATCTGGAGTCAAATGACCTGTTTGGGGTTCTAGCTCTGGAGCTCGAAGATTGTAGAAGCCCAGACGTGCTGCCTACCCTCGAGGAGACTTAGCTTTCCTTGCCTGTGAATTGAAGAAGGTCATAAAGACAGCACCACCCCAGGATGGAGAGGATCGGGATCAGATGAGAAGGGTGTAAACAATACCGCAAGACGGACTGCGTGTCGGCACCTGCCATTCGCTGGGCATGATGCCTCTATTGATGCCCCAAAGGCTTTCTTTGCAATGGCTGTTCAAGGACAAGACCATCGCCATCATACAAGTATGGAAAGCTGCTCAAGGTCACACATATAGAGTGAAGAATCGACCTCCAGGCTCTCTCTGTCCAAAGCCTCGGTCATTTCCCACTGCTCCTCTGGGACAGATGGGCACAGCGTTGACAACAGATGTTTCCCAAGTAAGGAATTTACCACTCTTCTGCCATTCTGCTGTGCTGTGGTGGCTGATACATTACAGGAGTAGAAAGTCCCATCTTTCTCCCATGAAGCAGCTGGTGGTTTTGAACTGCTGGCTTTGTGGTTACCAGCCCAGCGCCTAACCACTATGACACCAGGGCTCCTTCAGGAAAGACATTCCCTGGGAAAAAGACAGCATGCTTGCTACAGTAGAGCAAAAGGAAGAAGACCCTCAATGTGCTGGACTGACACAGTGGCTGAAACAATGGGCTCAAACAATAATTGCAAGGATAGCTCAGGACCTGGCAGTGTTTTGTTCTGTTTTGTACAGGGTCTCTGAGTCAGAACAATCTCAGTGGTTGAGATCGTTAAGGTTTTTTGTGCCAACCTGGCACATGTGGGATCAATTGACAGATGGAGATATAAATGGCTCAGTGAGCCTCTCCTTTCTAGTTCTTGGGTCTCTTGCTTTCTGATAATCAGATCTTTGTGCAGCTGCCTTAGCTAGTGCTCTGCCTCAGCTGGCAAGGCTCACTTCCTGTGAGACAACCCTGAGAAGAAGCCACATGGACCTACCCCGATGCAGCCCTGGGTGATGGAGCAGCCATGTGGAGACCCCTGCCAGCGCTGAGATGCTTACATGCTCACTGATTCGGCTTTCTTCCTGCAGTCAGTGTCATTTCGTGTTTTGTGAGATGGAGGAGGACTTTGTAGATTGGTGTCAGACATATGGGCTAATGTTGGACTATGGGCTTGGACAGCACTGGGTTGGGATGCTTTCTCTATGTACATTTACCCTTTATATTAAACACTCTCTTATACATAGAGTTTCTGTGGATTTGTTTACCCAGACTAATACAGCAGTCCCTAATACCACCACCACCACTACTGTTTCCTTGGCTAGCTCACATATGAACAACCAGACGGGCAGGAGGTGCTTGATCAAGCCATTCCTGAAGCACCTTGAATACCAAATGAGAAGATCAGGACCCTACGCACTACAGGAAGCAGAACACACAGCTGGAAAGCAGGTTCCCAGGCCCCTCCTGTGGGAGTACAGGGAAGCCCCAGTGAGCAGGAACGAGCATTCCCATTTCCCAGTCGGGCAGAGGAAGACTTACCAGGGGTCCCATCCAGGGCGGCCTTGGCACCTGCCAAGGTCAGCAGGCCTCCTTCCTTGAGGTGCTTGGCAGCCAGGTAGCTGGAGATGGTGGACGTCCACATGCTCTGCTTCCACATCAGGTCACAGTTCTTAAAAAGGGCTGAGCCGAAAGACAGCATCCAAGCCACGGCTTCATCTCGGTGAAGAAGCCTCCCCGCCAACCCCCCCAGCCCCACTCCCCAGGAAGGAGTCACTCTTCTACCCACCCCGTCCACCAGGTCGAACACCAAGAGCACATGCGCTGGAGGTAAAACGGACGTGGGTTTGAATCCCGGCCCTGTGTTCAGCTGCCTCGTGGATCAACTGGTAAAATGTCAGCCAGTCAAAAACGACTGTAAGAGCGACTGGCCGGATAGAGCTGGACATTCATGGAGGGGGTCACTCAGTTCAGAATCCTTGTGGGCCTGGGCAAGACTAAGTTAGGTGCTGCCCTCCTGGAGCTCATAGTAGGGAGGACCGGCTCCCAACCCCCAGCTTCTAGCCCCCACCGTAACTGGGATGACATTGGCAAGTGTCCCCAGAAAACCACTCCCTCCCTGCCACTGAGTCGATTCCAGCTCACAGCAACCCTGTAGGACAGGGCAGAACTGCCCCTGTGAGTTCCCGATACGTAACCCTTTACAGGTGTACAAAGCCCTACCTGTCACTCAGTGAGCAGCTGGTGGTTTCGAACTGCAGACTTTGCAGTTAGCAGCCAAACTTATCACCACAACACCACCAGGGCTTCTCCTTGCGAGCCACAGCTGGGGGAGTGCAAGTCCCTGCGTGGTGCTAATGGTTAACACTCTCAGCTGCTACCCAGAGGGTTGGAGGTTTGAGTCCGCCCAGAGGCTGCATCAGCAAGCCCTGGCTATCTACACAGGAAACATGGGGCACAGGAAACCCTCCGGAGCACAGTTCTACTGCGACACGTGTGGGGTGGGCCCAATGGCCACACCTAGTTGGTTGGTTTCGACTCCTGCCATCAAGCAATTATCAAGAGAGACACACAGAAAGACAGCTGCCGTCAGGTGGGCCAGCAGCAGAGCAGGCAAAGGGTCAGCTCAGAAAAGACTCACACTTGGACTTGGCGTTGCCCCCGGCCCATCCTCCAGCCACACAGAGGATGGCATCCACCTTCTCGTCGCCCAGGAGCTTTCCAACCTCAGCGGTCACCTTGGGAAAGGACGAAGTGACATGAAAACCAGTTTCCGTTTTCAGTCATTTACCCACTGCCGCCTCTCGGGTTCTGACTCACAGTGACCCTCTAGGGCAGAGTAGAACTGCCCCTGTGGGTTTCCAAGGCTATAAATCAGGGGCCAGAGTCCCCCCGGCCACGGTGCTCTGGGCAGGGCGGGGAGGCCCACAGAGAATTACCTGGTCAGCCTGCTCCGTAAATGAGTCCGTCATTTTCACCACGACACAGGCGCTGGCCTCCTCGTTCTCCACCACGTCGATGCTGGCGACCCACTGTGGGGATGGAGAAAGAGCCGCTTGGAGGGCGACACAAGGGGCCCGTGACACCCACAGAGCCTCAGCCCCCGAACACAGTCACCTCCCGGCAAGCCCGTCTGGGTCAGAATAGAACGGGGCTGCAGCAGGGTTTGTTCTTGTTTGCAGCAGCAGCAGATTACAAGGCCGTTCTGCTGCAGAACCTCTGGGTGGGCTCAAGCCACCAAGCTTTCCATTATTTACAGCCAAGAGAGTTCACCACGGTTTGCACCACCCAGGGGCACCCCATGCCACTGTCCCTAAAAAGACACTCCTAGAGCATTTACTTTAGAAACCTGCATTGTTCTGTTTCTTTCTCTCTTTTCTTGGCTTCTTGTGAGAAACCCGGAGGAAAGACTAAACACGCAAGGCGTGGGGCTGGTTTCCCCATGGTCTTTGAGGGGGAGACCAGCTTCCTACAAAGTCCCAGTCAGTAAGGAAGACAGCCTCCTCCCTCTCAGCTCCGGGGCCCGAGGGCTGCAGAATGGCCTCCGTTCACAAAGACACGAGTTCTCTTTTCGTTTGGATAACCAGCACTAATTGATGGTCCCAGCTGCCTGTGGCCACTGATGCTGTCCAGCCTGCCGGAGTGAGGCCCCGCACCGGTGTCCCGAGGATGTGTGGGAAACGGGAAGCATCGAGTTGGCAAGAGCAAGGGTGAGGTACCCTCCCTTCAGGCCTGACACTATCTCTCTGCCCAACAGTCTGGGAGACAGCTGACTCAAAATAACATGGTTTTCATCCTGTCCCGCCTGTGAGGAGGGGCTAATTTGATTTTGTCTTTAATTCGATTTCCCCAATGGCAGAGAAAAGGCTGAGACCAAAAACCGAGCAGAGCAAGGAACCAGCGGCTGCCCTTCACCCCCCACACAGGGACCTTGGGCATTGGCCCACTGATGCCTCCTTGTCCATGACTCATCCATCCAGCCGTTCATGGTACTGCAGAGACTTTTGTGTTGTGGTGAGGCTGGAAAATACACACCGGTATTCCAAATACCAGCACGGCTTCAGCAGAGCTTCCAGACTTCAGACGGACTAGGAGGAAAGGCCGGCCAATCACCTTCCAAAAATGAGCCATTGCAAACCACTCAGATCACAACAGAACAGTATCCAACTACAACCATCCTTCGTGAAGATGGTGCAGGGCCAGGCGCGTGTCATTCTGTTGTGGATCAACGTTGAGTCAGATCCAAGTCAAAGGCAGCTAACGAGTACAACCACCTGCCCTCAATATCGCCTACCCTACATTTTGCCCCGGCCCTCCTCACCCTCCCCTCATGCCCAGAGAAACCTTAGACCAGGGCTCTGCAGCCTCTTCCATAAAAGGCCACTCAGAAAGTAGTCTAGTCTTTGCTGGGCTACTCCGTTCTGCCTGATGGTGCAGAACTAGACAACGCATCAACAGATGAACGCCACCATGCTCACGTCAAACCCTGTGATCTGAATTTCAAATCGTTTTCATTCATCATAAATTATACTTCTTAGGAGCCCTGGTGGCATAGAGGTGAAGCATTGGGCTGCTAACTGCAAGGTTTGTGGTTCGAAACCACCAGCCCCTTCACGGGGGAGACTTTATCTCACACACTTTGGACATGCTGTCAGGAGAGAGCAGTCCCTGGAGGAGGACAGCATGCTTGATAAATTGGACAGAAGGCAAAAAAAGGTCCTGAAGGAGGCTGCATCAATGCGCTCAGGCACAGGAACAATTGTGAGGATGGCACAGGACTGGGCAATGTTGCATCGGGTCGATATGGGCTGGAAGGGGCTCCCTGGCACCTAACAACAATTCCAGTGGAGAGTGACAGTCTCAGAAACCCACAGGGGCAGCTCTACCCTGTCCTATAAGGTTGCCATGTGTCAGTGAGTTGGGCTTTTTTGTTGGTTTGTTTTTTCTGAGTTTTTTTATTTGCTTATTTTTATAACTCTTTTTTTTTTCCCAATTATATTTTCAACCATTTAAAAGTAGAAGGGGGGGGGTGTAGCCTAAGAATGAGTATAAGAAAAAAGGAAATGTTCTAAGCTGGATTGTAGTGATGATTGCACAACTTTATTTTAATATGTTTAAGTCACTGAACCATCTGTGTGAATTACATGTCCATAAAGCTTTAAATTAAATTAAATTAAATTAAATTTAAAAGGACAGTCATTCTTTTCTTAATTGGCCAACCCCTAGCCTGAGGCAGGAGTGCCTGGGCAGAGAAAAAAGAGTAAGCACTTGGCCATTCACCTGCAGGTTGAGTGGGACTCACCCAGTGGCCTCTTGGGAGACAGGCCTGGCTGTCCACTTCCAAAGGGCCACAGCCTTGAAAATCCTCCGAAGCCGTTCCACTCTACACACATAGGGTCACCGTGAGCTGTAATCAACTCAACGATGGCAAGTGATTTTTCCCCCTCCTGGGCATATGGAATGGGCTTTGGGTTTGAGAATCAGACATATCCTGGCTCTGCTATAAATCCTGGCTCCTCCACCCTCGGGCTTTCTCACACTCGGGCTGTATGCCTCAGTGCCACCTGAAAATCAAGTCTTGACAAACATCTCACAGCATTCAAACCAGAGTCAAACTCAGAGTCATCGAGACGATTCCAATAGACAACAAGCCTTTGAGCAGCTAGAACTGCCCCTGTGGGTTTCTGAGACTGGAAATCTTTATGTGAGCCAAAAGTCTCATCTTTCTCCCTCGGGAGCAGCCAAGGATTCGAACTGCTGACCTTGTGGTATGCAGCCCAACACGTAATCCGCTGCACCAAGGCACAGTCCACTTTCTTCAGCAAGCACCCCATTCTATGGCCAGCCTTTTGCCTAACAGCTGAACATCATCAAAGGCAAACCAGGACTCTGAAACCGTGAACGGTGCCTTAGAGAAAGACGCATGACCTTCAGAACCAAAGAAACAGACACGAGCAGTCTCCCTCACAGAAGCCCCGGCGACAATGAAACAGGACCAAGTCCATAGAAGCTCTGCTGGCACAGTAGTGACAATGCTCACTGTTGATTTAACCCACCATTCACTCACTCCTGGGGGGGAGAAGATGTGGTCGTCTGCTTCCAGAAAGATCACAGCCTTGAATCTACAACCACACGACCCTAAATGTTCCCCATCTACTCTGATCTTGGAAGCTAAACAAAGGCAAGTTTGGTTAGTACTAGATGTGAGAGTTCCACCTAGGAAACCCTACAGGGCCTCTCTCCTCAGTCCTCTAGGATCACTGTGTTGGGAGGAACTGTAGTTTCCAAACTCAACTCCCTGCTATCCAGTCCATTTGGAATCATAGCGACCCTGTAGAGGATTTCCAGGGCTGCAAATCTTTACAGGAGCAAACAGCCTCAGCCTTCTTCCTCAAAGAAGCTGCTGGGTTTGAACCACAGACCCCACAGTTAGTCCACAGCAATACCAGGGATTTAGTCCCTGAGTAATGCTAACTAAAAGGTTGCTGGTTCTAGTCCACCAGAAGCATCTCAGAAGATCTGGTGATCCACTTCTGGAAAACGACCAGTTGGAAATCGGGGGTACAGTCCTACCCTGCCACATACGGGATTGCCAGGAGTCAGAGCTGGAAGACAAGTAGCTGGCATTGGGCTGCGATCCACAAGGCCAGCAGTTTGAAACCATCAATCACTCCCCAGAAGGACAACAGAGCTTTCTACTCCCATAGAGGACAGTCTCTGATAACAATGAGTACAATGTTCTACAACTGATTGCGGTGATAATTGTCCAACTCTTCTTGATGTGATTAAACTATGGAATTGTATGATATGTGAATTATAGGCCAAGGAAACTGTTGGGGGCAAAAAAAAAAAGTTACCCTTGAGAACTCCCAGGGGCAGTTCTACCCTGTCCTATGGGGCTGATGAGTTGGAATTGACTCACTAGCAGTGAGCCTATTGTTTTTGTTTTTTTCTTTTGTTTTAGTGTTTGGTATAGGGCAAGTTAGCAAGCCCTGCATCACTGCATCCTTTGTTACCACCACCCAGCCCCGTGGGGGGCCGACACCCCAGCAGGTGGGTGGCAGGAGGGGGGGGCTGCTTGTGTAAGCACCTTTAGAAGCTGCCCTCCACCCAACTTTGCACTGGAGAAGAAAACTCAGGGGGGGGGGTCCTCTCTGGAATTTGGGAAAAGCCCTTCCACAGAGGGAGCTGCTGCTAATTACAAGCCAGGAAGAGCTCTCTCGGCTCCGGGTCAGTCTTTGAGCAAGAACAGCTGCCAGGGGCAGAGTCCACAGGGAATGTGCGAGCCCGAGGGGGTGGGGAGTGGGGCAGGGTCCCTGCAAGCCCAATCCGACCCGCTCCAGCATGCCCCGCCTCCTGGAGCGAGTACCTGACCAAGCAAAGTCGTGGAAACTTTCTTCCAAAGCTTAGCCTTTAATGGTCGGCTCCAAGGAGGGCTAAAGCTACAGGAATGGGGGGAAAACAGTGCCATCACCGGAACGCGACGGGAGGCCTTGGCCTTGGTTCTCCAGGCCCCCCAAGTTTCCCTCCTCGAACACCAAGCAGTCTTACCCCTTTGGCTATCGCCCTGGCTGGTGGGAAATACCTGCGCGTCCTCCTCCAACAAGATTTTACCTTGCACGGTCTTTCATAGGCTTTGCTATATCTAGCATTTAAACGGCTTTTCTCACGTGTTAGGAAATTTGCATGTAAAAACACCTTTCACCCTCACCGCTCTGATCAAGAGGAAACACGACCACATTTACAGATGTGGAAACTGAGGCTCTGAGTATTAAGTAGTAAAGTCAGGCTCAGTAGGACGATGTGATCATATATGAACTCTGTGTGTCTGTCTGTCTGTCTCTGTCCAGTCTGTCCGTCTCTCCGTCTCAGTCTCTCTCAAGAGGCTGGCCCTCCACCATCACCACCCTCCATCCAGGCCAAAGGCCAAACACTTACGGGAGTGAGCACACACATTCAGAGAGCTGGGGGATAGGGGGGAGTGGGTGCAGAAAGAGCTGCGTAGACGTGTGTAGGTGTAAATACGAAGCTAGCCTGGGGGTACAGAGGACCACCCCACCCCCGATGTCCACCGATTGCCTTCGCGGGTTGCCCTCTTAAGCCCCCAGTT